CTGGTGGAGGCCATGGTAGTTGTGGTCTGCAATGAACATTCTTGATCATGATCATGACTCCTTGTGCACATGTGTGGGTGTCTCTCTAGGGTCAGTAGCTGGGACTGGAATTGCTGAGTCGTACAGAGGATGCATTATTTACTTTTCTAGACATTGTACATTTACTTTTTTTTTTAACCATCTGGTTCATGCTAAGCTTGTGGTCAACTAAAATCCCCCAAATTTTATATATACACACCTGTGAAGCAGGATCTCCCCCAGGATGTTCTTCTGTATTTAAAAAGTCAACATTGCACTCTCTGGATGTCTACTGTATGCAGGTCTATAGCATATAGAGAGATCCCAGGGTGGTACAGATGGTTTGCACTTGACTACTAACCTAAAAGTTGGTGGTTCAAACTCACCCAGAAGAACTCACCAGAAGAAAGGCCTGGCAATCTACATCGGAAAAGATTACAGCCAAGGAAACACTGTGGAATGGTTCTACTGTGTAACACATGGGGTCGCCATGAGTTGGAATCAACTTGACAGCAATGTTTTGTTTTGTTTTAATAGCATGTAGTGCCTGTGCTAAGCACCGTGAATATACAGAAAAATGGTAGGTCCTTTGCCTTCTAGGAACTTAGAAACACATGAAGGCAGATGGAGGTCTGGGCTGGGTCTGTAGCAGGAGCATCCTCATTGATGCTCTGTAATTACCCATGAAAACCCACCAATGAGGTGCATGCCCTACTACTGTGAAAAGGAGGCAGGAAAGTGAAACACAATGGCTACATGCTCTACACCTGACGGCACCTTTTCCTCAAGGATCACCTCCTTCAGATTCATAATCTTTTACATTCGTGTAGTGCTTTGAAACTTGCAAAGTGCTTACATACACATTACCTAATTGATTGTACAGCATCTACCTGGGAGGCTGAGAGGCACCCATCAGTATCCCCACTGTAGATGAGAAGGAGCTGAGGCACAGAGGGGTAAAGTGGTTGTAGCAAATCACAAGGCCAGGAATGGCAGAGCCCGCACTAGAACTTGGCTCTCCTAATCCCAAATCTGTGCCTTCCCCAACACGTCCCTGACTTTCTGCAGAAGACGGACCTTGTAATAACTCTCTACCTGTCCTCATATCAGGCTGAAAGATAGACAAGTTATCAACAGAAGCTCATAATAACTAAAGCCAGGGCTCCTGACACCCACCCCCATACCCCATTGCTGACAAAATGCCCGTGGCAGCCAGGTCACAGTGCTTCTAGGAGCTGCCGCCTTCTCTTCCTCCCCAGTCCTGGGTACTCACAATCCCTATGGGAAAAGAGCAATTCCACTGTGGTTAAAAGTACACTTGGCCCTCCATATCCACAGTTCTGCATCTATGAATTCAACTAACCGCGGATTGAAAATATTCAAAAAAATGTCACACTTTTGCTGATGTTTACTATGTAATTAGGCCTATGATGATTTCGATGGTTTTGTCTGTAGACGGTTGTATCTGTACTAAACACGTAGACTTTTTTCCTTGTCATCATTCCCTAAACTACAGTACAACAACTATTTATGTAACATTTATGTTGTATTAAGTATTGTAAATAATCTAGAGATGATTTAAAGTATATGGGAGGATGTGTGTAGGTTATCTGCAAATACTACACCATTTTATATAAGAGACTTGAGCATCTGCGGATTTTGGTATCCGCAGCGGGTCCTGGAACTAATCCCCTGCCGATACTGAGGGATGACTGCATCTGTTTTCTAGAAAATAGTTTCCTCCAGGGCTTTGAACTGGTTTGAACTGGTTCATTCATGACTGACAAAGCAAAACCGGAACAGACTCGAATTTTTAAAATGTGAGTGGACGGGAACAATAACCAGACTGGGAAAAATGATGGCTCAAAGTCTTGGGACGGGAGACTTGGAAGAGGCATAGGGAGCCCTTTCAGGAGCCTGATGTGGGACATTGGATTAGTGCCAGGACAGTGGAAAGTGACACACATTCAAACAGCAGTGTTGGCCACCATCTATGAGTGGGGCACTGTTGCTTCCGACTCTGCTGGTCAAGAGATTTGGTTGCTATGCAACGTGCACACTGCTCTTGTTTTCTAAGAGCGGGATTAAGTTTCTAGCAGGGATTTGACCCATTGTTTTTCCTGCTCCAGCTATGTTATGATTCACCCACTTTAAAAAATCGGAGTCTATTTCTCTTCTGCTTTGTTGGCTGTGACTAAACCGGGAAGAACTGATTTGGAGCCCTGGTTTTCTCTCCTGAGTGCTCTCACCTCCATTTCTCTCTACCAAAATCCTCCCCACAATTGATGGCTTACCCCCTTTTCAAACCCTGAGTCAGAAGTGAGCTTTTGGAGGTGGGGAGAGGGGCAGATCAGTGTGTTGAAGCAGGAAAAGCTCAGAAATGGGGCCAGGCAGACCTGGGTTAGAATCCAAACTGGATCATTTACTACCTGAATGGGCTTGGGCAAATGATATAATCTCTCTAAAACTCAGCTTTCTTTCATGTTTTCTCCTTTTTTAAAATTTTCCTCCTTTAAAAAAAAAATTGTTGTAAAAATAAATATAACACAACATTTGCCAAGTCAACATTTTTCAGGTATACGGTTTAGTGATATAAATTACATTAATCATGTTGTGCAACCATCACCCGTAATTGTTGCCAAATTTCCCATCTCCGTAAACAAACACTGCTTCCTAAACAATGGCTCCCTTTTCCCCATCGCGCCCATGCCTGGCAGCCACTAATAATTTCACATATTCTTGTTATTTCACCCAAGTGGGATTATACGGTATCTGTCCTTTTGTGATTGATTTATTTCACTCAGCATCTGTTCTCAAGGTTCATCCATGTTGTAGCATGTATTAGGACTTCATTTCTCTTTAGGGCTGAGTAGTATTCCACTGTATGTATGTACCATATTAGTTTATTCATTCATCTGTTAATGGACATTTAGGTTATTTCCACCTTTCAGCTTTCTTATTTGCAAAGTTAAGGCAAAAACACCTAGGGGATTTTGTGATGATTAAGTGAGATAACGCATGAAAAGCATCTGGGCTTTAATAAAGCGCCTCTCTCATAACATTGGCCACATGCGGCCTCATAGAATACAGGGGTCTTGCAGTGCTGGACTCTTACTCTACCCAAGTGCATAGAAGCTAGAAACGACCTTAACATTAGCTCATCCAGCCGGTTGGCTCCTCTCGGTGATGCAGTGGAGCAGGGCCATGTGAATGTCTTCTCTTGGAAGGAGCTGGTAAGCTGCTGGGGCCACGTTGAGACATGAGGTGGAGGCTCTGGGGTCCAGGCAGGCCTAAGTATGAGCCTCCTGATGGAGGGTGGAAAATGAGGCCCAAGGCTTCCTGAGGGTGGCAAACCAGGAAGAGAGTTCAGGTTTCCACACTCAAGGCTCCTTCCATTAAAACAGAAAGGGAGATAAAATGGAAGAGGGATGGGAGGTGGGGCAGAGAAGGGAAAGGAAGTGAAGAGACTGCAGAAGTGGTGCAGAGGGAGATGCTCAAAGAGTAGGATTCCTGGTCATGGCCCCCCCGCCCCCAGCTGTGTGACTTGGTGTGACATAGACCATGATATCTGTTCTGAGAGGTTCAAACAAGGTAATGTCACGGATGTCAGACTGTCTTACAAAGAGCAACACACCATGCGAATGTAAGGGACTTCTGTCTTCAGTCCTCAGAGCTCCGCCACTCACAGCTGTGCTACCATCTTTCACATGACAGGAGCTTTTGAGCCTTAGTAAGAGAGAAACAACAATATAGTACATACCTCCCAAGGTTATCATGGGCGTTAGATGCGTTTAAACACCCAATGCATAGAAGGTGCTTAGTGTTGGTTGTCTTTTCCTTCTGTCAACCCGGGGCTTAGGTGTGTTAGGGGCATCCATCAATTCTTGCTTGGCTTTCCAGACATCCCTGAAAATTAAGGGTCAGTGATCCTGGGAAGGGGAATATTCAGCTTGGAAGTACGCTTGCTGACACCAAAGCCAGCCTGTCAGTACGTGGCACTTATCTTGGGTCTAGGAAGGAACAGGTAGACAGCCCTCTCTTGTCCCCCATCACTCCATGCCATTGTATAAAACTTCTTCATATACTTAACTCCCACATGGTAAGGCAATTATTACCTCGACCATGGGTCTTAAGATGACATACTTGGGACCAGTCTTTGGGTCAGAATTGTGAAATAGAAAACGTTCATTTATGGCAATGCTCTCAGTGTGCCCTTCACTCTAAAGTGGGTATAAAATTAGTACCCACCTCATAGTACTGTGAGGATTAAATGAGATATTACATGTATAACACTTAGTACAGCATCTGGCACATAGCAAGTGCTTGATTAATACTTCTTTTATCAGGGCATGGGACTAGGTTTTGTGAGGAGTGGTGGGGTGGTGGTGGGGTGTTGTGTGTCCAGGATTATTGCCTTGCTCTTGGTTAGACATGGCTGGTCTAGACCTTCCTCTTTGTTTTGTAAGGAAGGGTTGGCGAGACCGCCCTCTCCAATGGGAGAGGAGTCTTTGTGCTTCCCCTAAAGTGAATGCATCTAACCCAGAGGCACATCTATCATCAACCCCCAAGAAGCATTCGAAGGCTCTTCCAATTTTCTCAATGGTGACCTGGTCCAATCTGAGAACCAAGACTAGAGAGACACACAGGTGAGCCCTCGCCTCGACACTCCAACAGGTGGAATGACACAAATGCCCTTCCTTCCTGTGGGAAGGGGAACAGATTATCAGTGAAGACCATCTCCTTGAAAAGGTCCATGGCAACAGATAAAGATTTCTGAGAGAAAAAAGATGATTAGATTAGCGCTTACCACATTCCCTCCACAGAGAGATGCCAAGTCCTATTTTAAGCAGGAAAGGGGTGGAGATAACTGGAGAGAGATGCACACTTTTCCCCAGCAACTGCACCAACTCCAAGCTTTCTCTTCAGGCTTAATTGCCACACAATCTTCAATTTGATAAATGTGTTGCAAGAATAATAGCTGTGTGCTTGCTTCAGCAGCACATATACTAAAATTGGAACAATACAGAGAAGATTAGCAGGGCCCAGGCACAAGGATGACATGCAAACGTGTGAAGTGTTCCAGATTTTTTATATGTAGAAATTGTTGAGTTGACCACTGTTTTGAGTATATTTTCACCATAAAAAACCCCAAAAAACAAAAAACAACTGTAGCCAGAGTGAGAGCTGTGAAAAGTTGTACCCAGCAAGTTGTAAGTCTATGTTAGATGATTCAAGGGGACTGAAATTGGCCTGGGAGGAGGACCAGAGGGCCTTGTTCTCAAGGGGAGGAAGCCACCATAAGGAAGCAAGGTCTGGGAACAGTGTCAGGTTATCACATTGAGGTAATGCATGTCCATTGATTAAATCATTTTACCACTAAATAATCCTCCCATACTGACAGATCTTTGAAGAAAATGAATAATTCAATCAACTTTTAATAGAAAGGAAAGGGGAAAAAAAATCACCCTAGAGTCTAGGCCTTTCCCAAATTCAACCCCCAAATTTTCTGGATTCCCCATATATAATTTCACCAAATGAAGCTTATGGCATGTAGATACATTTCTATATTCTGCTTTTGCTTACAACAGTGATTAACATTCTCTATCGGGAAGTATACTGAACAACTTCTAAATGTAATATAAAGACAAAAAATAGTAATTAAGACAAAGTTCATGTGGCTCCACTAAATACCAACGTTTTAATTATATATATATTTAATACATTAGTTTTGGTTTTTAAAAAACAGACTATTTTTAGAGAAGTTTTAGGGGTACAGAAAATTGAGCAGAAACTCTATAGCTTCCATATGCACCTTCTCCCCCTTGTACACTGTTTCTCCTATTATCAACACGTTGCCTTCCTGTGGTACATTTGTTACAGTTGATGAACCAGTACTGATACATTATTATTAACTAAAGTCCATAGGTTACGCTAGGGTTACTCTTTATGTTGTACAGTCCTATGGGTTTTGACATGCATAATGTCATGTGTCCATCATTACAATAAAAGACAGAATAGTTTCGCTGCCCTAAAATGCCCTGTGCTCCAACTATTCATGCCTCCTCCCTCCTCCAGGTTTTACTTCGGTAAATGATCTTTGTGAAAACTGAAATGGAAAAGTTTTAAGAAACTGTAAAACATTGGGTGTTAAACTCTCCGCTGATGTTATTGTTGTTAGTTCCCGTTGAATCAATTCCAACTCATGGCGACCCCGCACGTGCAGAGCGGAACTGCTCCATAGGGTTTTCAAGGCTGTGACCTTCGGAAGCAGATCACCAGGTTTGTCTTCCAACGTGCCTCTGGGTGGGTTCGAACTTGCAACTTTACAACTAGTAGTTGAGTGCCATTTGTACCACCAGGGACTCCCTCAGCCAATAGATGCATTAAATAACCCTGACGAAAAGGTAGGGGTTGTAATTGTTATTTTTTATCACCATTCTGCCTGGGTCAGTCAGTTAAGACACTGCAGAATTAGTGCAAGTGGAAGTTCTAAATAAATATCAGGAAAAGCTGTCACATTTTATGGAGGCATCTGTGGTTCTTTAATTACTTTATAATTTGTGTAGAGCATCAAGACAGGTACTGTTGTTACCGCAGTAACACAGATTGGAGCCACCTGCCACAATAGCCAATTCTGAGACAGGGGTGAGGTGCGCAGCAGGAGTTTTATCATATATCAGTATATAGGAGATAAAGGGGAATAAATTCCTCCAAAAACCCGTCTCCTTACTAGCGATTGGCCGAAGGCTTTACAGGGACAAGATTATGGGTCTTAGAAGTTTGTGTTAGTTCCTCCTTGAGGTGGTCACATCCCAAATAAGTTAATCTTTTCTTGGGGGTTATCTGGCAACATCCTGGTTTTCTTGTCCCAAGATGGGTGCTTTGTTTGGTTTGTCATTCCTGGATCATTATCACTTGTTTTCCACCCTCCAAGGAGGAGCATCGGTTAAACTTTTTATAGAGACTGGAACGGAAGGGAAAAACAAGATCATGAGACAATGCGGGGGTTAGCAATGGGGAGTAATAATAGTGAGCCAGACCCATGCAGCCTCTTCTACTGTGAACTGGCAGCCTGGGAGCAGACATGTTTTATTTGGCAAAGTGCAGTTTAGGTTGCTTGTTGGTTTTTGTTGTTAATTCAAGCTAGAATGACCCTGGATGGGGCATGTACTCTCTAATTTGCCACAGGCCTCACTCCTCCCTATTGTCTTAGACCTTGCCACATTTACATATTTGCGTTACCTGCCTAACCCTTGTAAACATTTAAGTTTGGAGTCTGACTTAGAGTCACCACGAGTAGTTCTGGTATAATTAACTTCCTTAGAAATTTTGTTTTCTATATATTTTAGTAAAAAGTAAACAAACAAATCAAAAAGTCATTATCTCCTCTATGCATCCATCATTTTAAAAAATAAGAACTGAATGTCTACTAACTGCCAGGGACTTTTCTAGGTGCTGGAGAGAAAGCAGGGAACAAAGCAGTAAAAAATCCCTATCCTTGTGGAGTTTATATTCTAGTGGAAGAAGACCAACAACAAAATATATGGTGTATATATGCATATTATGTGTGTGTGTGTGTATACACATATAGGAGCACTGGTGGCACAGTGGTTAAGTGCGCGGCTGCTAAACAAAAGGTCGGTGGTTTGAACCCATCAGCCACTCCTTGGGAGAAAGATGTGGCAGTCTGCTTCCATAAAAATTGACAGTCTTGGAAACCCAATGGGACAGTTCTATCCTGTCCTGTGGGGTCACTATATGTCAGAATCAACTTGATGGCAGTGGGTTTGATTTTTTTGGTATATGTATGTATATGTGTGTGTGTACATAACACACACACATACCTGTATATCTACATATGCTACACTGCAATAAGTGCTGTGGAACAAAATAAAGCAGGAAGGGGAATAGGAAGTGCTGAGGGGTAAGAGGCAGTTTCCATTTAAAATTTGTGTCCAGGCAAAACCTCCCAGAGCAGAAGATGTTTGAGCGGGAAGATGAAAGTTACAGACCACAATGCTGAGGCAGCCCACGAAAAAGGAGGCTGAGCCCATCCTTGAAGTCCTTCCCAACTCTGATGATTTAGTGACTCCACGATTGTCACGCTTCAAGTAAGTGGGTCTGCGGGTGTCTTTGTGTGCGTACACATGCACATGCTTCCTTCCAATCAAATGAGAATGACTGGAGATGATTAGAGCGTTTGGAGTTCCTGGGTGGTGCAAATGGTTAACACACTCAGCTGCTAACCGTAAGGCTGGTGGTTCAAGACCATCCAGAGGTGCCTTGAAAGAAAGGTCTGGTAAACTACTTCTGAAAAATCAGCCATTGAAAAAACTATGGAGCACGGTCCTACTCTGACACATATGTAGTCACCATGAGTTGGAATCAACTCGACGGCAACTGGTTTGGTTATTCGGTAGTTAGCCGGAGCTGCCAAGACAGGGCTGTGTTATTCACTCCAGACAACAGGAAAAGCACAGCTACCTTGCTCCTTGTTTCGGCCAAGCTGTTCACTCCACTTAGTAAGGCACCCCCCCTTTACAAGCAGATGAAAGCAGTGGCCAGGTACGTACAGCGATTTCAGGGAGCCTCCAAAATCCTTTTGCCCTTGTCCCCTCCACCCCCACTTCCATTCCTCGCCCTGAAAACATCTCCCACCTCTCTGCTTCTGAGATGGGGAGTCAATATGTATTGAGTGTTTCCATATAAGGTATCTCATTTAATCTTGTAGGTTTGAAGAAATGTAGAGCCATGTAGTGTCAGTCTGTCATTTCATGGATGAGAAAATGAAGGCTCAGAGAGCTTCACTAAGTTTCCCAAGGCCACCCAGCCTCTAGGTGTGGGGCTCTGTGTCCTGGTGTTCTGCTTTCTGCCATCAAGTCCTCTAGCTCCAGGGTCAGAGGTGATGCAGTTTTGTACCCCACCCCACCCCAATATGTTGAAGTCCTAACCCCTGGTACCTGTGAATGTGACCTTGTTTGGAAATAGGGTCTTTGCAGATGTAATCAAGCTAAGATGAGGTCATACTGGAGTAGGGTGGGCCTTAATCTAACATGACTGGTGTCCCTACAAGAAGAGGAGAAGAGATACAGAGAGATACAGGAAGGTGAAGACAGAGGCAGAGGTTGGAGTTAAGATGCCACAAGCTTAGGGAGGCCAAGGTTTGCTGATGACCACCAGAAACTAGGAGAAAAGCACGAACAGATTTCTCCCTCAGAGCCTCCAGCAGAAACCAGTTCTGCCACCGTCTTGATTTTGGACTTCTAGCCTCCGGAACTGTGAAAGACTAAATTTCTGTTGTGTAGAGTCACCCTATTTGTGGTAATTGTCAACAGCAGCCCTAGGAAACTCATACAGGTGCTTACCCAAGGTCTACATGGCTATGGCAGAACCTCTCCTGGGTGATGGAGGTGGCGGCCTGGGGTGCCAATGGGAGGTTTCACACAGCAAGAAAAGGGTTCTGAGAAGCAGGGCCAGGATTAGGGTGAGGCAAGTGAGGCACCTAGGGTGCAAAATTTATGGAGGTGTCACTCTCAGATGCTGACCCCACACTGCACGACACTGTCAATAAGAAGCTGGGGTCACAAAGTCAAACTTCTTCACTCTCTTTTTCGAAGTGTAGCTCTGAGAAATGGAGTGATTTTTCTTTGCTTATCTTGGTATAGAAGTGATTTAACAGAGTAGTGATTGATCCCTGCTGAGTGCATTCTGGGATCTGTCTGCTTGGGGCTGATAAACTGATGGATGAATGATCCTCAAGGTGGCCTGCAGGAGCAGCTTTTATGTGTGTGCTGGGGAGGGAGTGTGGAGGAGAGAAAGACAGGAAAAGATCAGGCCCAGCCTGGCCTGGGGATGGAGTCTGAACCTGTTGGAGAGGCGCATTCTCCTGCTCCTCTGATGTTGTGGAGACTGGAGGAACATAGAACCCTGTCTTGCCACTTTGGGAGTGCTGGGGAAAGCCTCAGCAGCGTGCCCTGGAGGACACTGGCTGAAGGGGCAGTGTGGAGGGCTTTGCAGCAGGAACATGAACAGTGGCTGGAGAGAAATCTGTGAGGAGCTGACCTTGAGCATGTCTCAGCTACTCCAGGG